TAAGGGAGGGTTAATGCAATTAAAAATTCTATTTCCGTTTGTTTTAACCAAAAAAAAAAAAAAAAAAAAAAAAAAAAAAAAAAGACAACTACTTGAAGATTAAGGATTTTTGGCCAATTAGCTTAAGTATTATCCTTGAGGCTTAAGAGAGGGTTTGAAAGACATCATTTCAGGGTTTCAAGGGGCCTTTGTTAAAGGGAGACAAATTTTGGATGTAGTTCTTGTGGCGAGTTGGTGGAAGATTACAGACCTAGACTAGAGGTAATGAGGGTATTGACTTTAAGATTGACTTTGAGAAAAGATATAATCATGTTGATTGGATTTTCTTGGATTTTGTTATGGAATCTAAAGGATTTGGATCGCGATGGAGGATATGGATTAAAGGGTGTTTGCAATCAATGAGTTCTATGATTATTTTGAATGGTAAGCCTATGGGAAAGTTTAAGGCTTCGAGGGGGCTAAGGTAATTTATCAACATTTTTGTTTGTTCTTATTTAAGGATCAAAATTTCATTTCGGTGCGTAGTTTTGGTAAGCTTGAAAATAAAAAGATTTCGGTAATCACAAACAAGATAAAAATAAAGAAAAAATTTGAAAATTTATTTCTAAAACATTGGTTAAAACAACCGAAACATAAGTCAAAACATACCGAAACACAAATCAAAACATATCAAAACACCTCAAAACACAGGAATATTAATATTCAATCAATGATTCATTTCAATTTTCATGAAAACTGAAACATTTTAGACGTTTCGACCCCTTCGAAACAAAATTTAATTGCTTGCTCTTATTATGGACGAATTGAGTAGGTTAGTGATATAGCTTTGGATTGGGAAGAATAGAATATCAGTGTCACATCTACAATTTGCTTATAGTACCATTTTCTCCTCCTCCGCTAATGAGGAAAAATTCTTGAATTTTACAGAGATTGTTGATGTGTTTGGGTTATACTGTTTGGTCTTAAGAGTTAATATGGAAACAATTTGACTATTGAAACCAATTCTAACCAAGATAAAATTTCTAGACTAGCATTGGCCTTGGGGTGTTTAGTGGAGGTTGGCCCCTTAAGTACTTATGGCGACCTTTATGAGGTAACCCTTTGGCAGTGTATTTTTGGGATCCGGTCATTCAAAAAGTTGGAAAAATGTTGGATAGCTTGAAGAAGTCTTCATGTGGGGGCGACTGACTTTAGTTGAGGCGGTACTAACAAGTATCCTATCTTTTCATGTCTCTTTTTAAGATACCTTGTGGGGTAACAAAGAGAATTAACCGGCTAAAGATTTCATATGGGAAGGGAGAGATGAGGGTAAGGAGAATAATTTGATTAGTTGGGAGATAGTGTCTTGGTCAAAAGCAAAAAGTGGGACTTTCAACAAGAAATTTGATAGCTAGGAATGTGCCCTTAGTAGGGAAATAGTTTTAGAGATTTTATTTGAAGCATAATTCGTCATGGCATAAGTACGGCTTGCAAACTAATAGGTGGGATGCTAATGGGTGTGATAAGGAAAATTACGGAAAATTACGAAAACACTTGAAAATTTATTTCCCATGGATTACCTTATTTAATTTATTTATCATGGATTACCTTATTTTTCTCGAGAGGTCAAGATTACTATGGGTAATAGGTTAAGAGTTCAATTTTGGGAGGATATTTGAGTTAGGGAGGTACCATTTTCAAGTTCATTCCCTCATTTATTTTGACTATCTTACTATCATAAATATTGCGTTGCACCTTTGGTAAGGTTGAATTCCTTTCCACGCATGGAATTTTGGGTTTCGTAGGAATCTTAATAGGGAGTTTTCAAAGTTAGTGTCACTTCTTTTATGCTTGAGTCGGTCACTTTGAACCAAGAGTTGATGGATAAAAGGACATGGATTATTGACTCTTCCAGTTCCTTCTCACGTAAATCTTTTTTTGAATCTTTGATTGATGATCCTTCAATTCCCCTATTTTACCCACGCTAAGGTGTCTTTGAAAATACAAGTTTGTGCATAGGTAATTGCTTATGAAAAAATCAATACTTAAATATGCTCCAAAGAAGAAGGCCTTCCACCAATCTCTGCCCGTCATGGTGTATGATGTGTAGAGCAAGTTGTGAAAGTGTGAATCATCTCTTTTTACCTTTGTCATATTGCATTATCCTTATGGCACAACTTGTTTGAGTTGGTATAGATGTTTTGGGTGGCCCCACGATCTATTTCATCTATGTTTTGCATGGATTTCAAAATGTTGGGTGGAGGTAATAGGAGTGTTATCCTTTGGCAAAGTGCAGTCCTTGCAATTGTTTGGATTATTTACTGGCAAAGAAATCCGAGAATATTTGAAGATGGAGAAGTCCGTTGGAAAGGATAAACTACTTTTTAGCTTCTTTTTGGGCTTCGGTGATAAATTAGTTTGAGAATGTCCTTCTCTTTGGTATCACATCAAGTTGGTTAGCCTCGTGCGGAAGATAGCAAGATCGTGGCTTTGTGGTTTTCACTGTTTGGTGTTGTAACTATTTTTCTGAATTTTGTTTGTTTTACTTATCAATAAAATTTGTTGCCTATCAAGAAAAACTACCCTCCCTTCTGACACCATCACTCATCTTCTCATCTATAAACCTGAATGGATCTCATATATTCAAATCCAGTCTTGATACCATATTGCCCCCTGCAGCAAAAGGCAATATACAATTCTATCAAAGAGGTTTATCTCATCTTTTTACCACCAAGAGCTAGAATGCATATCTATTATAATCTGTTATTCTTTTGAAAACTCGTTCTACAACAAGTGTAAGCATTCCCTCTTTGATCGACTTTCCTGCATAGTGCGTCTTTTTTGAGAGAAGAGGTCAAAGGGCTTAGTGACTCTCAAAAGTCAGTCTTTTGTATGGCGTCAAAAAAAATGACAGATAAAATCATTGCTTCAACACGTGAGAAAATATAATTGTGAGAAACAATGACAGAAATTGGGATAATATCAAAAGTAAAGCCAAAATTCTTGACTTAACAAATTGACAAATCATTAATTCTATGCAATGAACTTTGGACCTACCTGTAGCCAGGCTTCAATAATGAACTTCAACTGTGATTCAGGTTGGGACTGTTTATCACTAAGCTTCTCAAGCTGGGGAAAATGAAATATGTGGAAAAAGTTAAACAAGAACATGCAATCAATAATTACAAAAAATAATGGTCGCATTTGGAAAATACAAAGATTCCAAAGGACAGTTTTATCAAAATGTAGGAGGTAAAAAACTGTCTTATAGTATAGCCCATTGTAGCAGAATTATGCCCCAGTTCCCAACTAGCTCTATCAACCAGCTAACAATTCAAATCACAAGGAGATGATATCTAGAACATTTAAATAAGTCATAGTTATCTGTAAACAAGTTTTCATTGACAGCCAAACAATAATGAGCAGCAATGAAGACCTGCAGGTCTACCCAAGTGGCAAAATACATGCGTTGTGCACTGGCAGATCATGGTTTCAAATCACCTCCCCAGCTCCCCTGGGGAGGTGATTTGTAAGTCATAGTTATCTGTAAACAAGTTTTCATTGACAGCCAAACAATAATGAGCAGCAATGAAGACCTGCAGGTCTACCCAAGTGGCAAAATACATGCGTTGTGCACTGGCAGATCATGGTTTCAAATCACCTCCCCAGCTCCCCTGGGGAGGTGATTTGTAAGTCATAGTTATCTGTAAACAAGTTTTCATTGACAGCCAAACAATAATGAGCAGCAATGAAGACCTGCAGGTCTACCCAAGTGGCAAAATACATGCGTTGTGCACTGGCAGATCATGGTTTCAAATCACCTCCCCAGCTCCCCTCCCCCTCCCTAAGATATCATATTGAAATAGATATTGTGATAATAATAATAATAATAATAATAATGAGCAGCACTGAGCTTTGGAATTGAAGTTTCTATATTGAACTCTTTACTCCCTCTAAATTCCATGCATTGATGGACAAGATTAGATTTCCATTCCAAAAGGATTTCGTGTGACATTAGCCACCCATGTGAGAGATAATAAAATCCTTGCACAAACCAGAAACAACAAAAAGGCTAACCTGATGAGAGGAAAGAAGATGGGGGTTCATAAAAAGAATCTGCACTGATTGCACAAGAGATTCTTGGAAAAATGCAACAATATACTGGAATATAACTGGGTAAGAATCTCATACAACATAAAAGATGACCAAAAACTTCATAAATCAGTAGAAACAATAGTTCATTGCATAACATTCCTTAGCCATCAAAATCTTTACCGTAAAATTGCAATATATAGCACTGAGAATTACGCTTACATGCACAGTTTGCATTTGATGTAAATCTGCTAGAGCTTTTTGCCTTGACTGCCATTAAAGAAAACAGAATTTTCAGATTATCCACCAACATATTTGATAAAGGCATATCGGTATATATGCATGATTTAGCATACATTATGGGGTAAATTTCAACAATAGAAAAAGGGTTGTATTTGGCATACGTTGCAAATTTCAACCACCGAAAAAGAGGGATAAAGTACAGCCACAAATCATATCATCAATTCATAATCATGCAACTCAAACAATTAATCAAGTAAAGTATGACATCAAAATGATATCTAGTTTTCTTTACAGACAATGAAAGTGGAGAAAAATTACTGATCGAAAAAGAGTTTACTCAAATAACTGAAAAAAGCTAGGGAGCAAACACCAACACATGCTTCCACACAGAAGAAGTTAATAACTTATTGATTGGAGATGGGTGAATAAATTTTGAAATGGAAGACAAGTCAACTTCTCCAATTCTGTACAATGTGCTTTTCTCCATTTTTTTACTTTCCATCTCAAAAGTAATATTAAAGAAGTTATGCAATGGTCCAGTATGAATACTAATACAAGGAGCACAAGGCACATTTATTTGAGGGACAAAAAAGATTTTAACTATAAGTTGCCATCACAACATTTTATGTATGATAAGGATTGCAAGAGTCCAGGCTATATTTATAAGAAAAAAGTTGGAGATGAATTAGTCTAACTTGTGCATACCGATTGGTTGGTCGCCCACCGTTCATAATAATGAGTGTATCTCTCTAAAGAGTTTTTAGCCATCTCTCTCCTCCTCTCAGCTTCATCATACTGCAAACAAAATAGATTGAAAAAATATTATCATGCAATAACTTCGACATCAAAGCATGAAAGTTCTGAGCATAATTAGCATAGAGACTGTTTACTACCACTCCCTCTTGCTTTGCTGCCTCATAACGATTACATGCATAGAAACCACCAGTCCTCTCACCATGATCTGACCAGGCACCAAGGCATAGCCTGCACATAAGATGATTGAAAACGTGGTACGTCATTGAATATTTACTGATAATACAAGAAATCAACGAGTGAGAGAAAAAAACAGAATCACACTTACTGCAATGAGCAGTGCAATTTTGGGCCAAAAGATTTTCATAAGCAGTACACCAACACGGCAATATAAAAAAATACTTATCCACATAACCTCAGGGCTCAGGTAGCAACGCACGAGAAAAGTATACAAGCTTACCAGCAAAATTCGAATTTGCAAGGTGGTGTGCAAGTCATGTGCATACAACCTTGGTTTTTCTCAATCGGTCTCTTGCACTTCGGACAAGGCTTGGAATTAGCCAGTATCCTGAGTCATTACATAGAGTTTAGAATTGTGCAAAATATATAAGACATCAATAATCAAAAATATTCACTGTATTCCAAAAAAATCATTATAGAAAAGGAAAAAAGAAAATAGCAACTTTATGTGAATAAAAGGGGAACGAAGATTTTCTTCCTGTAATTACACAAGAAACACTAACACATACATTTAGCACATTTTTTTCCATAAAAAACACTTATTATGACCTTATACCTCAGCAATAGCGATAGCAAAACAAGAACAAATATAGGTTGTAAAAGATTCAAGTAGCACAGGTGGCTCGAAACAGTTCTGACTCATTCAGGCTCCTTCAAATTGCAAAATAAATCGAATTTGATCAGATTCTTTCAAAGCCCAATTTATAAACCAGCCAAATCCAAGCAACGCATGGCTTGGCTTGGCTCGGCTCGGCTCGATTGTGTCTTGTCTATAAATATTTATGATTTTATTGCCAAACAACTCTATCCGAAATATGAACAATCTTAACTTTATCCCCACTGACTCCAAACTATATACATATTAGACATATTTTGAAGAATTGTTGAGAAATTGATCATACTTTGATTGATTACTGAGTTCTAGGGTCACACATAATGTGAAAATTTGATCATACTCGAATTGATTATGAAGTTCTAAGGTCTAATTTTTAAAGTTTTTACTGACAAATTATTTTGTTTCTAGTCAAGCTCAGCTCGAATAATCTCAAGCTTTTATCGAGCGGAGCTTGAGCAAGAATCTAAACTCAACAGTCAAACTCACCCCAACTCGAACTTGCTAGTTATAATCGAGCCGAATCTGAGCATACTCAATTTCCTCACGGCCACAAGTAGTTATGACATCTTTTCATCCTTCTATGCAGCAAGTTTCTAACTCCAGTAATCCAATCAGAAAGACTGACCACTCAATTTTTCAATGAAAAACCTTGGTGATGCCCCATGTCCAACTAACATAACCACCACTTTTGGAATAGAATTACTTTCATATCATACACGAAATGGATGAATGAAACACCATTTGTAAATATCATTATTCAAGCAAGAAGGTACGACAATCCTCGCCGTCAACTTGGTCCTGTAACCAAATGAGGGAAATCCCCACACGCAGGCAACACAAGCAGCATTCTACAGAGTCCGAACCAAATCGTTACGTTGGCTTTCCTACTCATTCATGAATAAAAAAAAATTAAAGAGCTTTTTAAATTTTTTTTGGTCTGGGAATTCAAGAGCTTGAAGCAAGTGCTTTTAGCTGCTTTGCCTATTAGGGAAGCTATGCTGGCATGACATAAGCCAAATGACCATGAAATCCAATTTTAAATCAATTGATGCACAGCCTGATCTTTTCCTATAATCAAATTATGCCCAACTTTCTAGTTGCAATACTCCAATCAGAACCCAGACCACCAGATTCATCTGTGAAGACCGTAGTGCGCCCCTCAAATATATTTTTCATATATTCTCTAAAAAAAAGCACTGATTCTCATCTTATACATCGGCAATAATAACAGCAATACAAGAACAATATATTTATAAGCTCATCACTTGTTCAAGTGGTTATAGCAACAGCTCATGGGCCACCTGAATCATCCTCGAAAACTTTGTTATTGCCTCTTCTCTAGCTAAAAGAACCACTAATTATTTATTTTTTAGGGAGAGAAGAGAGGGGGGGGGGGGGGGGGGGGCNGGGGGGGGGGGGGGGGGGGGGGGGGGGGGGGGGGGGGGGGGGGGGGGGGGGGGGGGGGGGGGGGGGGGGGGGGGGGGGGGGGGGGGGGGGGGGGGGGGGGGGGGGGGGGGGGGGGGGGGGGGGGGGGGGGGGGGGGGGGGGGGGGGGGGGGGGGGGGGGGGGGGGGGGGGGGGGGGGGGGGGGGGGGGGGGGGGGGGGGGGGGGGGGGGGGGGGGGGGGGGGGGGGGGGGGGGGGGGGGGGGGGGGGGGGGGGGGGGGGGGGGGGGGGGGGGGGGGGGGGGGGGGGGGGGGGGGGGGGGGGGGGGGGGGGGGGGGGGGGGGGGGGGGGGGGGGGGGGGGGGGGGGGGGGGGGGGGGGGGGGGGGGGGGGGGGGGGGGGGGGGGGGGGGGGGGGGGGGGGGGGGGGGGGGGGGGGGGGGGGGGGGGGGGGGGGGGGGCGCCTCTGTAGCAGAAAAATAAAGTGTGGATGAACAAACATCCACAAATGTTGATTCATTCAAGCAAAAGAGTGCAACAACCCAACCTTTGCACTGGTACTGTAAACAACTGGGGATCACAGGCAATAGCAGCAAGAGTCTATGGAATCGAAATTGAATCTTCTGGTTGGCTTTCCCATTCATTACTGATTAAGGAAGACTTCAAGGGCCTGAAGCGAGAGCTTCTAGATGTTTTGGCTCTTGTGGGGGCCATGTTTGGTGTGATAGAAATGAACGAAAAGTGATGAGAACGTACAGTTCTAAAATGATTACCCAAAAAAAAAGAGATATAGCCTCTTCTTTTGTTATAATGAATTTATATTTCCCCAATTTCAGCGATAATGATCAAGAGGCATTACAGCATTATTTGAGGTTTTGAACAAAACATTCTTGTCTTTTAATTTACCTTTTCAGCCTACAGTTGATAAACAAGCAAGGCGACGCAATCAGCCAATCAAAGCAGTAAACAAAAAACTAGCTACATTCAAGTTTTTACCTTAGTAGCATTCCATAATTGTTGTTTGAATTTCTATTCTGCCCATTTTTGATATAAATATACAGACCCGCATACATGACAACTCCGTATAAACCTCGATTCTCGACTCCGCCGGGTCGTCCAAGTTGACTCTAAGTCAATCCCTAGTCGCCAAATTATCATCGCCAAATCGACCAATACGGTTCCACGATACCGCAATATTACTTGATTCTATCATCATGTTTTTAACCTTTTCTTTCAGTCGTATCAATTGATACTATGCCGCAACGCCGCAAATGATGTGTCTCAGAGCTCTCCAAGTCAATGATCGACACCATGACCTTGAACCATGGACCCTAAAATGGGTGAGCGAAAGAGTTTGTCCTTCAAGTTGGAGATGTTTAGATTTGTAAGATGATGACAGAGTCCCTTCACTTTCTTCCTTTTTTTTTTTTTTTTGTTTCTATAGAGTGTCTACACTTACGCCGACTACTCCAGCTTTGAGCCGACCAACGTAACTCGAACTAGTTTAAGGACATATCTCACAAGGAACAAGGGTGACCGCCCTCAGCAGTATCGAACCTGAGACCTCACTTTCTATTTACAAGTACTAGCATCCTGCAACTAGTAGATTATAGCAGTGCAGACCCAGGAGGAGTCAACTGATCCGCTTTTTACTCACCAGAGGTATTTCTCTCAGCCTTATTTGAAACACTTTAATTTTTCTAAAATGTAACCTAAATAATTTCCCTGATAAGTGGCACGTTTAGTCCTTGGCTAAAGTGGGAAAATCGCACACGGTCACATACACATGCACCTGGGGAAGTTCAAGAACATAGATTGCTGCTCCACATTGATTAATGTGATGCACTTTTGATGGGAATTCCAATTTTTAGTAATGCAGAAGTTCTGATTATTACACTTGCTAAAATTTATTACTTGGCACTGTGCAAAGTGGGCAGTTTACCATGCAAAAAATCTTAATTCAGGGATCTCTGTATTTCTAAGTTAATTCAGCAGCTCCCAACACCCAATAAGGTCAGGAAAAAAGGACAAAGAAAAGAGAATAAAGAAAACAATATTTGATAGGGGTGCAATTTGGGTTGAAGCTTTTCAACCCTAACCCTAAAAACCTCAACCTTAACGCTGTTTTTCCCGGGTTGGGTTCGGGTTTGCTGCAAATCCACCCACAAAACCACAAGTCCCCCCAAATGAAAATGGAGGTAAATGCAACGTTCTAATTCCTAAATTTCCTCATCCCTTATAAATAGAAGCGTGCTGTCCAAAAGTAGCCTACATTCATCATTTTAATACCCTGACAACAGAGAAGCGATGTTAAAATAGAACATAATGAGAATAAACCAACAGCCCATCAACTAGGAATTTTTCTCTTAATTCTGTTCTGCATTCTTTCTTAGTCAAGACCTTAGCCAGCCATTAGCAGGGCAAGTGAAAATCCAGTCACATCTCAACCACCCAGGTTGATGTTTCTCCAACAAATTGTCCTCTTTAGACAAATGACATTAAATAGGTAAAGACGTGTTCTCAAGCGAAGATATATACCCCATCATCAATAGTAAAAACCTAAAGCAATGGTATGAAACATATATTATGGTGATACAAAATATTAACCAAAGAAAGATGAATACTGCATAAAATGGAAAAGACACTATCATCTCCCGGGAAAAGAAGCAAAGATCAAAATTTTGTTTCAAAACAGCCAAAACATTTCCGTTTCCAAGTACCATTCAATGATTGAATCGAAATTCCAATGGTTCAAAGTGTTTCGGAATGTTTAGAGA